CCGGGGGGGGGTTACCCGGGGGGGGGGGGGGGGGCGTATTCCGACAGGCAGCGTTCGTTCATGCCATGTCGCTAACCACCCTCTCAAGTTTTCTCGGGGAGAAATTTCAACAATACCACGTTATTGAAGTGACGGCAGGTTTTGGGAAGCAGCGCCCCCCGGGAACGATCGTGAAACAACGACTACCCCTTGCTGTCAACGGCATGTGACACGAAACGTGGGTCTACGCGGTCTGATGCCAGCTGACACGCAACGGGGGGGGGGTGTCAGATGCTGCCGCAACACCTACCAAGCGAGATGATCGCTTTGCGGCTGCAAGCAGAGTTCGACGCGAGTCCGCCTGAATGCGGGTACTAGAGAGACAACGTTCACACAGCCTTCCAAGGACGTCCCCACACCTTGGAGCTATCGGTCGCACGAGGGCCAGCAGCGGCAGCAGCAGCGGCGGCAGCAGCAGCAGCAGCAGGTGACACCTTCGCGCACTCTTTCACCCACTTCGCGTGGGCCTGAGAGCCGCGGGGTCCCCGGCGTCCCCAAAGCAAACGAACGTGCACCAGAAGACAAGGGGTCGACAGAGACACACGTGGTCGAGCCAAGAGATAGGGTCACAATTCACCCATTTAGGTAGTTGGTTCCAAGGCACGCTTCGCCGTTCTTCTTCCCTCGCTTGCGCCCTCCACATGTTCCAACAAGGCTAGTTGTCGATGGCAAAACATCCAGTAATGGTGTAGGAACGGGGTAGACAGTGTGCGCTAACCTCCCCCAAAACCCAGCCCAAGAGCGGGCGGTTGTTCGTTCAGTCCTATCCACACGTTGCGGATGCAGTAGTCGAGCCGTCCAAGCAACATCGCACCAAGCCACACCGAAACAATTCCGAATTGGGCAGAGTCAAAAACAGCAGTAGGCTGAAAAAAAGTATAGCGAAAACCGTCTGTGATCGAGAGAAAGAAAACCATACAAAAAAATAGCACGAGACCACCAGCAACAGCGCGTGAAAGGCCCGTCCCGTAGCAACCCAGAAATGCGGCTCACCCGCTGTGAGAAACGCCAGCGTTGGCAAGACCACTGACAGCCAGGCAGTTGACAGTCACCGTGATCGTCACCGTCCAATTGCAAGGGAGCAGAGCGCCGCGTGTTGGGTGTGCAGGCCGGCGGCAACGGGTAGCGGACGGGGCGACCCCGGCGTAGAAACGCGAGGCGCGGGGGAGGGGGGGGGAGAGTCAAGACACTTGGGAAAACACGTGTTGCGTGTGAGAAGGATTGGGCAGCACAATGCCCTCACGCAAAATCGTGGGGGGTGGCGCGGAGGAGGGTCGAGCGCGTGTCGCTGTGAGGCGGGAACGGTTTGTCGTCTTCGAGGCCAAGTTGTTCGATGATAGGGGGCCAACGAACACACGGCAGTCCGCTTTCCGTGCCAAAACTCCGCCTCTCGAGTACTGCTGTTCCAACGTATCAGCCAGCGTTTGATCAGGCTAGGCAGTGAGCACGACGGAAACCCCCCACCCATGCTCTGGAAGCGGCGACCGCATTCCAGTCACGTATAGAACGGACCCCAGCACAACAAAACGGCCATCACTGCTCTCCCCGAAAACGACAAAATATAGTATCTCCACCTCGATGAAACGATTGTTTTTTCACGAGCTTTCCGAAACGCAACAAAAAAAAAATACAAATCCCGCCGCACCTTGTCGTACCACTGCTCCACCTTCCGGCTGTTGAAGAACGCGTCCACCGCGGGTATGACAATGGTGGCCACGGCCAGAGCGGCAGCGCTGGCGGAATCGTCCCAGCCCATGCCGTGCGTCATCCCGACGGTGCTCGTTCCAAGGCCCCAGAAGAACATGGCCGGGGCAGACAGGAACAGAGACACCAACGAACGCCTGCGGGTTTCGAACACCCGCCGCCGCCCGGGGCCCGTCAAAAAATAATACACGGATCGACTGCCCCGAAGTTAACTATTGTACCCGATCTCTTGGGTACGGTATAGGCATTTTCTTCCTCTGTTATTCGTGCGAACCACATTCCGCATCGAAATACTGTTCTTCGTTTCGACGCCCGACCAAAATACGTTGATCTGTAAAACTACTCCTCTTTTTTCGGGGAGATGGTCGCTTGCCAGATACTTTTCTTTTTCCATTTGGTGTTTGCCGTCAAGTATGTACCTTTTTTCGGTCGATCCGGGTTTCTCCCGGGCGACCAGGCTCCCCGCCCAGGACAAAGCCGGAGCGATGGCGGACATGATGATCAGAAGAACCAGCTTGTCGCTGCTCCCGACCTCAGGCAGAAGAAGCTGGAAGATCTGCAACGCAGGTATTGGAGCATTGACACATACATTCGAGCGCGTGCAGGAAAAAAGCAGGAAAAAAGGTATTTTTCTCGATCTCGACACCACAGGGCACGCACGAAATCTCTTTTCCCGAGACCGAACGTTGTAGTTTATCTCTACGTACACGTTGTTCATGACTTACGTCTGGTCTTCCTGCCCCGGTTTTCAGAGGGCCTGGTGGATCCACCGCGCCAGGAAAGGCTACGCAACACGCAACAACCGCCGCCGCTATCGCTGCCACCATCAACACACAAAAAAACAAAATCAAACATGACACGACGATAAAACGCCAACATCAACAGTACCCCCACCACAACCACCACAAAAAACAACAGCAACATCAGCGATAACAAAAACAACAACAACAACAACAGCAGCAGCAGCAGCAGCAACAACAACAACAACAACAACAACAACAACAACAACAACAACAGCAACAACAGCAACAACAACAACAACAACAGCAACAACAACGACAACAACAATAACAACAACAACGACAACAACAACAACAACAACAACAACGACAACGACAACAACGACAACAACAACAACAACAACAAACAATGGCATCGTCAACCAAGCACGAAAACGTCATTCACCGGCCACAAGCTTGAGGGCACGAACAACCGAAACACACCGCCCGAGAACCAAACAGAGCAGCACGTCACGTACGTCTCACTCACCACGATCAATTTGCCAGGAATGAAGCTTTGAATCTTGGATTCGATTGTGGAAGCCCGCTCCTCAAGGGTGATCGCCCTCTGCAAAAAAAAAACACACACACAACACACAATGGATTAGGAGGAGGCAGAGAACGGCATGCGTGAAAAATCGAGATAAAATGTACACCGCGGCAAGGGCGTGAAAAAGAAAAACGCGCAACAGTTGTTCCTCATCGAAAACGACTTTGAGCCGCGATTTCAACAACATCTACCGACTTCGAGCCGTGTGTTTGTTCAACTGGACGGGGCGTAGAACGGCTCGGTTGAAAACTCACATACCCGGGCAACGGTGAAGATCCGGAAAAAAACCCGTCAATTCCTCGCGGACGATTCTGATTCTCAACTGTGTAACCGCTAGAAAAACGCCTGCCTGTCGACGTCACCGTGAAACCGTCTGTCGGGCATGTGGATCTAACAGTTTCGCTTGCGCGTGGTGGTGGCGGCGGCGGTGGCCGCGCCGTGACTCAGCCTGCCTGCCTGCTTGCCGTCCCACCTTAAGCTCCTGGTCTCTGCGGGCAACCCTCGCAGCCATGGCCCTGGGGACTGTCTGCAGCGCGGTCTCCATTATCGTGTCCGACTTGTCTTCCTTGTTGATGCCCATCAGGGCAGCGATCTATTGGTTTTTTGTGTGTCCAGGACAAAGGAGGAGGAGGAGGAGGAGGAGGAGGAGGAGGAGGAGGAGGACGAACGCGATAAAAGCGGCGTGGGAGCGTCAGAGCGAACAACCAAGGCAAAAAAGAAAAAACGAACAGACGCACAATCATACGAATAATCAGACATGCCGCTCGTTGTCTGCTCGCACGCCGACATGTTGAAGAAATAATCTCTCTATGCGGTTTGGCTATGGACGTGCGTAGTCCATCTTGCACAACCTCCTAATCCGTCTTGAAATTTCTTCACCACTGATGACGAGCAACTCTATCCAGTCGTTGATGCAAAAATAAACGCTAGGAGCTTGCAACGAATCGGCAGACAGGAAGGGGCACATGTGAGAGAAAATAACAACAAGGAGCGAACATCAAATGTTTGAACATACACGACCACCCTCCAAACAATCTCCGACGTCCCACACGTGATACTCGCTGCTACTAGTTGCTGCTGCTGCTGCTGCTGCTGCCACCGTCGCTACTGCTGATCATGTGCATCTATTCTAACGATGGCATGGCATATGTTGGGGGCGGACTCGTTGGGTTTTCAGCGGCTGCCGGCTGCTTCCTGCGCGCCTTCTCAACAGAAACATGACCCATAGACCCGAGAGAAAAAAAAACACCCCTGCGCATGAACGAGCTCCTCAACCTCCAAACAACAACGCCAACATGGTAAAACACCACGTAGCTCCTCCGAATGAGTGCCGGCTACAACAACAACGAGAGACTTTCATTCCGGTCGTGGCAGGACCCATGCCTCCGGCTGCTGCGGTGGTGCTTCCGAACGTTGCACCTACATGGTGCCTGCAGCAGCACCAGTGCCTACGGCGGCACCAACACCTACAGCAGCACCAGCGCCCACGGCAGTACCAGTACCTCGTCGTCGAGAATGTACTCCCTCGCTGCGAAGAATACGGCGTCGAACACCTTGGGGCGCCTCGTGAGGACGGCGTGCCCGAAGATCGTTCTCCCCCAAGAGTCCGTCGCCTTGAGCTGCTCGCGCACCTGGACGTGCGACGACCGCCCGTGGCCGGGGGGAGCGCGGGGATAAAACGTTACTCTTCGCACGTCTGAACAATGCGAATGGGGCCTCCACGCGAAAATGTAGACTGAAGTTGCTTCGTCAATCCGTCCCCAGGCACGTACTACGTCTCACTCTAAACACGGGGCCTCTCGCAGCGAAATTGGGGGGGAAGCAAGTGCATGTGGTACGTGCGTGGCACGTGCCAGGATTTTTACAAACGACACACACACCAGTTTTCTTCGCCTACACCCCTCTGCTTGGCTGTTCCACTCCTACCTTTCGCGCGGTAGGTTCGCTTCAAGTGGGGTTTGTTTCGATTGAGTAGCCGATTAGCCGCGGGCGGAGGGAGGGGAAGCGCAAGGCTCCATCCGGTTTGACGTCGAAATATTTAGCACCACATGTACAACAAAAATCAAGAAACGAAAATAGCTGCGCTCAGTCCCACCGCCGCAGCCAGCACGCGCGTCTACGATATATCATGCCACAAACCACCACGTGCCTGCTGTTTCCAGAGCACCTCCTTCACCAGGGCCCACGCCGACTTCAGCACCGCCATGCCGGGGTCCAACACCCACTCATTCCGCGGGGCCCCTTCCCCAGCGGCGGCCACGGCGGCGGCCACGGCGACATCGTCCTCCTCCTCCTCGTCGTAATCATCACCATCGCCGCTTCCGCCTTCACCAGCCTCTTCGTCCGCCGATTGCCGTTGTCCCCCACCGCTTGTTGTTGTCGTCGTCGTTGTTGTTGTTGGAGCGCCGGTGTGGTCGGCGGTGGCAGATATGGCGTGCATGAGGAACGTTACCCCTTCGCCGTCGACCTGCTTGATCAGCTTCCTCAGCTGCGTCGTGGGGGCGAAGGTTCGGGACCAGGGTGTTCAAGTACAAGGCGGGGGGGGGGATGCATGGACCGCGAGGTCAGGTCGTCGGGACAGGACAGGACTGCGGGGGGTACAACCTTGTAAGCTTCCAGCTGGTGCCGGGGGTCTACCACTGCAGGTGCCAAGGACCCACCACACGGAGCGAGCGTTGTGGCATCGTTGGTGCACGCGCGGGCTGCTATCGCATGCGCGTGGGTGGCGACAGCAACACGCATACATCTCCTGCGGAGCCAACATAGAACCCGGTACCCTTATCCCCGAGCCCTAAAAAACACAACACACACACACACACGGTGCCCCCCGGGGCGTCACCCTCCTCACCGCATCGTGTGCCACACCGCCGCGACACCCCTCCAAACATTAACCGCAGCGAAAGCCTCCTTGGCATTTGTGTGCGAAATATATTGCTTTTTCAGCTGATGTCAGCAAAGGCTCCTATTAATAGGCACAAGGTGCGGAATTTATTGCTCTTCGGAGAACGCTGCAAAAAGAAGCCTCCTTGGCAGTGGGCTGAAAGTTTTTCTTTTGAATGCTGGCAGCAAACAGCAAACGCTCCTCATTGGTATATTATGCTGTTGGTGCTGTGGGTTCTTTGAGAGTACCCCTGTACGTACCCTCGAGGGCATGATGAACCTCTGGCATGCGTGGCTGACGGACAGCGCTCCCATCTGGTCGCCACACCGGGCCGCGTGCATTAGGATCGTACGGTCGTCTGCCGACGACGCCAGCAGCTGCTCTTCCACCTGTCGTTTATCGCCGTACCCCAAAGAACGTCCACATCACACGGGGGGGGGGGCGATGGAAATGGCGGGTGCGGGAAGCGAGGGGAATCGCCGATGAAATATCCTGAAACGGCGGGGAAGAGGGTAGCGAAGAAGACCACTGAAAATCGATGATAGGGTTGGACTCAAGCGAGGGGGGCGTCCCCTAAGATGCGCTCATTGCTATCACACACGGAATTACCAACCTCCCGTACCCACAAGTACATCCCATGTTTGCGAGGCCTCGATCCCAGTATCCTGCCAGGCCTTTGCGCCCGATGAGGCTGCTGTACCTCTTTCTGGCGTTCGCTCAGCTGCAGCCTACTTAATAGTTTAATAGCTCTAATTTCACGAGTTCGGCGTTTAGTTGGGCTTCATTTGCGCGTGTCCGGCGACTGCCTCGAGGATAGTACAGCAGCGGAAAATCGAGGATTCTGATTCAACGGCCCCCTAGTGTTGTCGGGGCCCCCGGTGTTGCCGTAACTTGGAGCAAAATAGTTCCAATTGCCAAAAATAGACGTTTTCCGCGTGAGAAATTTATTCCACTTTCCCGTATCCGATATCACCGCTTTCCCACGGCTTTGTTTCGTTTCGTATTGTCCCGCCGGCGAAGCATTCATGATGTCGGGCTCACATTGTCCTTGTAGCATCTCTGTAGCTCGTCGAGGATGACGGTGAACACTGCCGAGCGACGGGCGCCGGCGGCGTGCATGAGCACCGTCGTGGCGCTGTGGTCGCGGTCCAGCAGGCGCTCCGGAGCCTGCATCCGCGCGTGTGCGTCGGCATTGTGGCCGGCATTTTCGTCAGACGGCAGATAGGTTTCGTGGAGCGGTCGGTTGCAATGGGGGGGCATGATGGCGAGGCAGCGGGTGTCTAGGCTGGTGTGGTTTAACTTAATTGTTGGGTTGTAGCGGCCGTCGTGGTCTTGCTGTGATGTAATACTGTTGCGAGACCAAACTATTGCAAAGCAATGGGCCCAATGCTGGCCTCCATTCCGCCAAAGCACCCGCTTTCCCTCCGAAAACGGTCAAGCCGGGTGAGTGTTTCGGCACCATGTCAACACGTCCAAGACCGCGTGACACAGCAGAAGCACCCAGTGCGATCTAATTGCTTCGGTCACGGCACCGAAGACTCGAAAAGCACTCCTGCCACTAAACGCGCCACAGGCAAAGCCTCTCCACTGAGTGCTGGTACGCAAACAGGTAACCGCAAAAGCACGAGAACCTCGCAACGTGTGTTCGCGCTACACGAGTTCCGCGGCAGGCCTCGGGGGCTTCGGTGCATCGATCGTCGAAAAAACGCCGCAACCCCCCCCCGGCAACAACAGCGGGTCGCAACAACAACACGCCACAACCCCGACTTTGCGTTCGGCCTGTCTTGCTGCGACAAGGTGCACGTTTCTCAGTCCTCTCTTCGTCACGAAAAGGTGCAGTTCTTTTCACCCCCGTCTTGTCATGAATAGGTGCGTTTTCTCGGCCCTGTCTTGCCAAGAACAGCCAGGCATCTCTTCCCTCAAAAGCCCCGTCAACATAGAATAATTCTTTACCTCTACGATTCGGACACGTTCCACCACCGCCTCCAATATCCCCACGCTACCGCTCCTCGCGGCCAGCATCAGCAGCGTCATGCCCGACTCGTCCACGTACTCGAGCTGCTTCCTCCTGAGGCTGATCCGATTCGTCTCCTGCGTGTCGTTGTAGGTGCAAACAGCCACGGACAGCACGGTCATTCGTCGTCGTTGCCGCAGAGGAGGTTGGTGGGTGTGTGCGGCTGGCCGCGCGTGTTGGGTTGAGTGCATATCTCTCATCGGAACCAACGAGGGGCGATAACGATGTCGGAACGAGTGGGCACAGCTTGACAGGGGGGGCGGTTGACGGGGTGTTTTTCGCAACTGCAAGCTAGACTAATTAAAAGCCCGCCAAACACACGTTACGTGCCGCAATATCGAGGGAGGGGGGGGGAGCATTCCGAGCTCAAAACCATTTTTCATACGCGTCCCACCCACCGCCGGCATCCCGTTTTTCTTGAGGGAAGTGACAGGGGTGGGCACGCGCTTAAAAAAAAACATGATTCATACGCGTCGTCCCACCGTCAGCATCCCGTATTTTCTCAAGGTGAAAACCGCGTTAACACGCAACGTACGGCGTTGCGCTTACCATCCGTTGCTCGCCGATGGCACGGTTCACGGCGTGAAGGACGGTCGTGAAGAGGGCCAGGCTACCGGTGGCGGCGGCGGCCATGAGGGGCGTTCTCATGCGGTGCTCGAAGGACATGCTAGGGGCGAGGACGGCGTTGGCGGGAGGCTTGGCGGAGCCAGACAGGCCCTCCCGCAGCTGTGGCCGCGGGATATTCCGCGCAAAGGTGGTACGACCAAGACGCCGACAGGAGGGTACCACCAGGAAGAGAGAGAGAGAGAGAGAGAGAGAGAGAGAGAGAGAGAAAGGGGGGGGGGGTTGAGGCGAACGAAGTGCCCAAAATAGCGACGACATGCAATGCACATGTTGGGGAGGGCGGAATGAGGGCCGGGGTGAGAAAAAACTGCGGGCGAGGCAACACCTACACCGGCGGCCTTGCGAGGGGCAGAATCGCACATTTGGCGGCACCACTGATCACAGCAAATACCCTCTCCTGAGTCGTCGGATTGGGACGAGAAACGTCTCATTTTCAGCCTCTCTGGCGAAGTGAACCGGCACGAATAGCGCTCCCCCTCCCCTCCCTCCCTCAAGTCTCGACGATTGACACCCCCCGGGGAGATCCAGGACAAAAAAAAAAATCCAGGCCCGCGCTGAGTGCCGAGCGGCCTGATCGACCTCTCCGCCGGCACCACACAACAGCATGATGCACGCTCGAGCTAATAAAACAAAAGCATAGCATGGAAGATACTTGAGATCACATGTCTAGTGCCGCATGAGAAGGACTTCGGCATGCGAAAGGACCGTCAGACACACCGGAGCAACTATTTTACTTATAGTTATTCCCGAAACCACCCCCGGGGAAAATTGAATCGTCCACTTCAACTTGAAGTTGGCAAGCCAAAAACACCCGCAACGAACGAAGTAACATTAACCGTTACCACAACTCGGGATCGACAGCCTCAACAAAACAAACCCACGGCGACTGAACAGCAACCAGCAGCCAATTTGGCCCCCGGGGTTTTCGTCCCCCCAACGCATCATACAAACGTCGAAACTGTACACATGATGACCGCTGCGGATGATGCCCCCCTGGTGCGAGTGCCTTCTGAAGGTGCTTTACCTTTGCATGATCTCCCGATTCCACCGCACCAAGGATACTGTTCGAGCTCTCGGCTTCTCGCGCGCTCGTCTGTCGCCCGAAGGTGGGACTGACACTGAGGTCAGGCTAGACACGAGAAAACAAACGACAAAGAATGAGAGAGAGGGAGAGAGGGAGAGGGAGAGAGAGAGAGAGAGAGAGAGAGAGAGAGAGAGAGAGAGAGAGACACACACACACAAACGGAAGAACGGGGGGGAAGAAAAACAAATCATGCAAGGTACATTGAAATAGATTGCACTAGACAGCTGTTGACAAAATTATGCAAGGTATATTGTAATAGATCACACTACTAATAGACAGCTGTTGGCAAACTATGCAAGGTACATGGTAACAGATCTTCACACTAGAGAAGCTGTTGACGTTGTTTTCACCGTACGGATGTGCGGTGAGGAAGAAGCACCGGAAGGAACGGGTGTGCCCGTTGTTCCAAATACACCGCAACCATGACCGAACGGGTACCCAAACCCAAGCCCGCCGTCGCGAGGATTTGCCGCCCGAGACCCAGCCCCACACGGTTTAATCTCAAACGGCAATGTCATTCATACCAGTTGGAAGAAGGAGAGCAATGTCGAGGAAAAAGCGAGGCGGAAAAAAAAAAAAAACGGCTCTGCCGTTGGACGAGGTAACGATAAAAGAAGGGGTATTGACAAAATGGGGTACATACCCCGCGTGCTTAGGCACGAAAAGGGGCATATTTTCTTTTTTTCGGTGTGGGGCGCAATGCCTGACGCCGAGTAGGTGCCTTTGACTGCCTTCAAGCGCTTCAAGTCTCCTGCGCCAGGTCGTCCATGGGAAGGACGACATTTTTTTTTTTTTTCCCGTAGCGTTTAACGTGGACTAGGGCCCGGAAGAGGGGGGCTTGTTGGAGGACCCCATTTTGTTCACGAACCCGCCGGGTATTCAGTACTATACCCCCTTGTCGGCTAAAAGTTTTATATTTACAAAGAAGTACCCCGTTTTGTTCACAAATGTTGTTCGTGTTGTACACAGAGGGAAGAGAGTGCTGCACTCTTGTCGCTATAATCGAAGGCAAAGTGCCCCAGGAGGGGTGGGTAGGGGGAGCCTCAAAGGTGAAATGATTTAATCGGATGTCGATTCGGGTGAACCCGCAACCAAGTTCGAACGTTAGCGGTCTACTCGCAGGCACGGCGCGTGCCCACCTACCCCCATCCACACGAACTCCATCCACCGCCGAGCACGGAGGAGAGACAGAGAGCACAAAAAGCCAACCCAAAGGGAGGGTGACTGCGCATCGTTGTTGACTGGCGCCGAAAAAAAACCGTTCGTGGGATGTGTTGGTCTGTGGGGCAATCTCCCGTGGGTTGTCGAACCTCAAATGCTCAGACGAATTGGTGGCTTTCCGTCGGACGAGGCTCCATTCAAAGTCTCACATGCATAGACATCGTGTCAGTACCGCACAGAGGCCATGTACGCGTTTGGTGTGTGCTTCTCGGGAGCGATAGCTCCTCATGTGGTGTGGCCACGTCATAACAGTACGTCACAACAGTAACCTGGCAGTCGGCAAGCGGCGGACCTCTCGGGATGTTCGCGGTGGACTGCAGAGATTCGTTTCCATTTGGCAGATCTCCACAGGCCATTTCTGTCCCGATTTGGGTAGATCCGACTCTTTTATTCTGATATCGAAATGTGATTTCGAGATCTGATTTCTTCGTTAATAGACCTACCCTCAGGGAGGGGAAACTTTCTGCTGTGTGACCATGGGTTGGAGAAAACGGCACAAGTTAAGTGCTGTGAGCGCTCATGATTTGAAGTGCAGAGAAAAGAAGAAAACGAAATACCGAACTACAGTACCAAAAATTGTTCAAGGCATGACCCTTTTTTTTCCTTTTTCGTTAAGGGTGAACGTCTATTTGCTGGACAGGGAACAGGGAACAGGGAACTCGGAATTCCCTGTTCCCTGTTCCGTGTGTAACATACGACACCACGACACATTTCCAGGAACACGGAACGTTTCAGCGCGCGCTTGCGGCCCGCAGGTACTCGAAGGCAACAAATGCAACCATTAGATGCACAAAGACGAGTGGGGGGTAGAGGAGGGAGGAGGTGGTGTAGGTTTTGAAGGAGGCTGTTGACGAGCACACATCAAACACATGTGCTACGTATCGGATAACAGGCGGTGCTCGCCATGCAATCCGCACCCTCGACAGCAGCGCTCTGGAAGGCATGCTTTGTTGAGTTGTGGTCAATGGCAGCTTGCCGTCTCTCGAACACTGTATGTTCCCCCATACAACGGCTACACGCGCCTCCGCCGGCGTTTTTTCGCATGCGAGACACCTGACAATGGTGGCAATGCCTATACGACTTGAACCGATAGCATGCAGCACCTGTGGCAGCCGCATGCCCGAGAGTGATCACACACATCCCACCACGTCCTGAATTGCCACCGAAGAGCCCGTGTTCCACGTTCCCTACGGTCTGTTGGCTAATTTTAACTTCCTCGGGAGTTAAAATTATCGTGCGCCGTAACTACCTCAAGCAGGGAACGTGTGTGGCATTTCTTGTTTCCAGGAAAGTTATTTTGTGTGGCTGGCCAATCAGGCAATAATTCCGAGTTCCCTATTCCCTGTTCCCTGTCCAGAAAATGGAAATCTGTCTCTGACTCTATAATCTATGATAGAGATGGACTCGTTGTGTCATATTAAGAAAAAAAACAAAAAAAAGATGGGCGTCCTTCCAAGGACCGGGCGCCTGCGGCCGACGCTCTGGAAGGTCAATTCCCCGAACATAAAGTCCACCGGACGGGCGTTTCTCACGTTCTTCAGGAAATCAGCACACAACAAGCTCTACCGGACACCAGGGGAAGGCATGGATGGATGTGCCGTCTTCTGACCAATCAGAGAAGTCGATTTGATATTTATTTATACGATGCATATTTATTATTATTCTGGGTCTCAGTGAAGAGGAAACTACACGCTATACGGCGAATCTAGAGGAATCGACCATGCGTGGTGACTGGCCGAGAGTACAGCATAAAGAACACGCCGGTTCATGGTATGCTTGAGGCTCAACATCACGAGCCGGACCGAAAACGTTCCGTACAAACATTCCTAGACCCAAGGATAGAGGGTCACCGAGACCGAAGATACCACCCCCCCTTACAACCTGCACCCGCTCATACGTAACTTATACTGGTATGCATTATATGCATTGTACAACAAGCATCCATTACTACAGCACTTGTCCGATTTTTCCCTTAGAAAATACCACAAACAGAACGAGTGCCCGTGCTCGAGAAAATACCCCGTTCGGAAGGATGTGTTGTGAAGTGATGAGGCGTGTCCCGGGAGGAATGTTGGCGGGGACACGGGCTGTGCACCTGGTTGAGCCGCGTTTTCGTGAGGAACCACAGGCAGGATGATGATGGCACACACCACACACAAAGTTAGTGAGGAGCCATCGAAGCTGCTTCAAGTAAGCCTGCGCGGCGTTTCATCTCTACTGCCTCGGAGAGGGGTGCTCCAATCATGCCGAAACACAAGCACCCGAGCTACTTGCAGGAGGGATGTGTCGTCGGGGGTGTGCTGTAAGCGCCGGAATTAAATGCAAACAGCGGAACGAAACTGCTTGTGCAGCAGACCAGACGGTAGGTTGAAACATCGCGCGCAACAAATTCCGGCTTCGGCCACCCATCGCCCCTACCGGTCCCAGAGATATGCATGGGCACACCGGTAGGCGCAAGTGTGCGGGACAAGGCCGGGTGCTTTTTTCGGCGCTCTCTCATCACATCCCTTCACAGGGTGGCAAGGGCGGGCGCCCAGCCGGCATCGCACCAAATTCTGCCCCTCGCACAACCAGGGTACTGCTGTAACGACTTTTTCTTTGGATGATTTGTGCAGCGGTCTTACCAGAGAGTGGCCACCGAAGAAGCTCGCCTCGTCTTTCGCCATCCTGGTTCCTTCCGCTGTCGCACGCGCCAATGCGCCCCCCTTCCTGTTGCCTTAGCAACGAACGAGCAGGGCTTTGAGATGTGCGTGTGGGGTATGCACATCGTGTAACCGTGCTTCATCGTATGTACCTATGTTTTTTTTTCTTTTGCGGGTAAACCGCCGCCGGCGATTAGGAGAAGGTGCAACTGCCATGCGTACCCATAGGCATCAGAAACGTCTTGTCTCTGTTCCGCCGTTAGAAAAGGCTTCTGTGGGCGAGCATACTGGACAACGGTCCTCTTTCTGCCACCAAGCCACACCCGTGGTTCATGATAATGCTAACATGCGAGTTCAACGTGGGGCCCACTCTACAGCACAGCAGGTAGTCTGGTGACTGCACGTAGGTAGATACCGTTTTTTGTGACAGATAACAGATGACAGTCTCGTGAGTTTTCCCGCCTTTTTCGTCTGCCGCACTCTGTTGCACTGCTACTGCTGTCCCTCCTGCGTGTGCTTGGTTGTGGAAGTTTGGTGCCCCATGCTCTGCCTATCTGTTCATGCGAGCTTGTAGGCATGTGGTGTACGGCTCTTAGACCCACAAGCGCGCAGCGTGCCTCGAAAACAGGTTCCGAGGGAGCTGCCGACATTATGCCGAGAATAAAAAGCTCCGACCTTTCCCCGTGGGTGTTGGGAAAGATCCCGTGGTCCACCTCGCTCTCGCATCGTCCCTCCCACATCACGCCACACTCCTACATACAACCACCGCGTCTACAGCCAACACCTTCAGAGTACTAGTTTACTACTGTCCTTTACTAAACCGAGGACTACTCCGGCTCCCCACGCTTCCAGGTGAGCCATCTATTTGCCGTCTCTATTCGAGCGGCTTTTAGCGGACTCACTGAATCCTGCTGTGATACGCCGAGTCCATCCGCATCAAAATCCTGAGCTGCTGCCTCTCGACTGCTAGATACGTGTTCGAAGGCTAGGAGCACGTCCCGTCCGCTGAAACCGCTGTGGCGAGCTTTGTACGTTTTTGTCGCCCTGCTGAAGTCGCCCAGCTATACGCCTGTTGAAAGTGTTGAAAGTTTCATCTCTCTCTGTGGTCATCACGATTGATCATATAGGGTAGGTTTTCCCGCCGATTGTTCCCGGCGGCGACTGACTGCGTTTCCGTCGGTAGGGTGGCTGGCATGTGTTCCCCTGGGGCACTTCAACACACGACGTATCGCGTAAACTTAGCGCCAACACACGATTTGCTCTTTCGACATGATATAGGCACTTCAACACACGACGTATCGCGTAAACTTAGCGCCAACACACGATTTGCTCTTTCGACATGATATAGTTTTTTGGGGGCGAAATGGACAAATTTACCCGAAATTCTTAGACGATTGAACTATTATGATAAAAACGCACAAAGCAGTGGGGTCGATTTTCGTGACCCGCCTTTTTCGAACTGTACCCACTCTTTTGTCCACCTTGCGGGTCTCGAACAGCTCCCCCGAGGCGATGGCATATGCATACCTACTGATGCATGTTTTCGAAAAATCTCATGAGTACAACACAACAATGAAAGGTGGGTATTCTGCGCGAAACGAGCGTGCCGTCTAATTAGTATAGTGGTCAGTACACCACATTGTGGCTGTGGAAACCCGAGTTCGATTCTCGGATTGGACATGTGACGCAAAATTTTTATCCTTCTTGGGATGGTTCTGTTGACTTGTTGTTGTGTTGTTTTTCTTCACATTAAACTCGTGTCAGTTGCTAATCCCAAAATCTAGCAAAGACTCGGCCCGTGGTCACAAAAATGCTAAAGCCATCAGAAGATCTTGACTGGTTATCTTTGATTCTTCTCTACTGTTTTTCCTTGGTATCGCGTGCCTCGACGGTACCCCGTGGCAAGCCCGGTGACTCCCGCATCTAACCTACGGGGTCTTGAGCTTCGTCATGGAAGTTGTAGCGGATCAACAGGAGAACGTTGGGCTCTCCTTTTTTTCTCTATTTTGCTTCGATGGGGCCTTCCTGCTGTTTTCTGTTCGGTTCTTACATTTTTTTTCCGGGTCCGTTCTTCCACCGGTTTGTTTTTAATGACGACGCGCTTGTTTGAGGATTTTTCTCGGTCTGTGTTGCATCGTTTTTTCGATATATAATATATTTTCTTTTTTTTTGCGATAGCTGGCCTAAGAGCACCGAAGGCGTCCGCGTCAGTTGGACGGGCGTGGGTGTTACGAGGTATGATATTAGCAGGACCGAAACCGTTTGTTCTGTGAAGGCAAAACAACAACAAAGGGGCCAGGATAATTTTGTTATTGATTCTACAAGGTTTGAGCTTTGAGCACCGCCCGATGACGCGCCTCAACTGCGCCGCGGGCCCACTCGCTTTTTCGGATACGAGAGATTGGGGTGCATCGAAGGGAAAACAGCGGCCGAGAATCCCGGCGCTCTGTAGCCAGTATCGCCAGTTGCGACACAGCAGTCACCATCACCTGAAGCATACACGCGTGCCGTGCCACATGGGGGGAGCTGAATGACGAGTAGAAGCACACGAAGCAGCAAAAATGGTATCACCAGCTGGAGAGAAAAGGCCGACGTTAGTGCGTGCGTCCATGTACCGCACACTCGGCACCATGCGGTACGAACAAAAGCCAAAGCAGCGAGATGTATCGCACGCCAGTCCTACGTGGGTGCCAAATTCTCCGACTACAGATAACGGTAGGAATATTGAAGGTTCATGCACTGGGTCAGACACGCTGCCTGGTGCATTGATCGTGCCCAATTCGTGTGACATAAATGCCCCCCCGGTGTCAGGAACCTTACACCCTGTTGGATGTACTCACAGCATCAACAGATTATTGCGAGCAAGAATTTCCCGAGCAGATGGAGCGGGGAGTTTGGGGGTTCAATGGTTGCTATGGATTAGATTTGGTGGTACCAACTTTATCACATATTGCAGGTTTGAGGGTATGGGTGTCTACAACGGAATTTGTGTGCGTGGCTTGTGGTTCCTCACTTCCTTTTTCTGTGTATAATCAAGTCCTTTTCCCGGCTCTCACGCCAACCCCGGCTTCCACGCCCATACTCCGGCTATCACGCCAACCCGGCTTCCACGCCTTCAGGACTCCCACGTCCCTACATATACCTTTACATCAGGGCCACCACGCCACCCGGCTTCCACGCCACAACTATATTATACACGAGCTTCCACGCTCCACCACGTAGAAGGGCTTTCACGCCCGCGGATAGTTTCTACATTTTGACCGTTGGCAGTACCCAGCTGCTGGCACCTTTTGTTTCCCACTACGGGACCCCGCGCCGAGGCACCCACGCACAAAGCTACTCAACACACCCTGAGGTCGAAGCGCCGTTTCGTCGATGAAACCGTTTCGTGCAGTGATGAACCTCACACGCCTCCGAAAGCTGCAATATTTAGACTGCTGATATGATTGTGCCTGTGACAGACACATCCGTGTGTGCGTGTGTGTTTTCTCACTCGAACTCGTGCGTTGCGCTCTGCTTCCAATGATGTTGTGTGCTGCTGCTGCCGCTGCCGCTGCTGCTGCTGCTGCTGCATCTACCAGGGAGTGAGTGGTCCACACCAAACAGCCCTCTCGCCAACTGAGATCTCAGCGTAACGTCCACCCGCACCTGGCGTGGTTTCCTTCCCAAGCCATGGGACGTTCCCCGGCAGCACTCCCTCGCCTCGTGCTCGTGGTTGCAACACTCTGCCTCCTGAGCGCCCCAAACACAGTGGTGCTGCGCGTTGACGCGCAGTCCCGAGACTGTAGTGACCTCCTACTGGCCTGCGGTGAGTGGACCTCGCGAAGCATGGACGAAATCGCGGTTACTACAAGTAGGTGTTGATTTCGTGTTCTCGATCGACTGTTGGGGCGTGAAGTATTTAGGTCCATTCGATCCACCGCACCGCCCGCTCGGAAATGTATGACAGTTATTATTGCCGCCTGGTTCGTGAGTTAAACCGGGGTCTGTGTGTCTACAAGAACGGAGCAGGGTAGGGTTCATAGACCGTCGAGAGCGGGCACACCGCCTGCTCGGCGTGCGTGAAAAAAATGCATGCCGTGTTTTCCGGAAGGGAAACCCGTTGGTACCGTAAGTGGTTTTGGGGGGAGAGCCGGCGATCCGCCAGCTTTGCAGGAATGCGAGAATGTACACAGCTCCTCTGTGTTTCTTCGTTTTCGAAGCGCCACTGTACTCCTTGAACGTGATTTGCTTTTTTTACCTCCGAGACTCAGCAATGACAAGAGGGGTCGTGCTTCATTGTGTTGTTTTTCCGCAGTGTTGGCAGGACATTATCTTAGTGAGGGTTTTTGCCCTAGCGCCGGGATTGTCCCACGAGCTTCCATCGCCGTCAATACCGTTCATCTTGGCGTTTTGTTTTTGTTCAACACGAACAACAATCGTCGCACCAGAAACCCTTGTTCTAAGGCCTGTCCCCTGTCCCCCAACGCCACGGTATCCTGTTGCTCTTCCTCCCTCCGGTTGGTGTGTCGACCAACCACGGCCGATTCGACAACGTCACTGCAACAAAACGAAAAAACAAGACGAGAGCGATTTCTGCAGCGCGTGCCTTGCTTCCACGAGCGAGCCGGCTTACGCGGCCTGCGAATCGGCACTCCCTTCGGACCTCTTCGTGTGCCAATACGCGGAGTACAATGTCTGCTGCTACAACGAGGCGTCGGGCAACGACTGCGTCGGCGACCCGGTGACGTACGCGTACCTCGAGTGCCTCTGGGACACCACCGACTCGTGCGAGGACGACGACTGGACCTGCAGCGGCAGCTTCACCGCGGCGCCCACGCCTGCCCCCTCGGAGCTAACGGTCAGCGCTAGCGTGGCCCCGACCGCCAGCGGCGATAGCGAGGACACCGACACGACCTCGGGGGGAAGCGCCCTGTTCTCGACTAGTGTCGGCCGTGTCGCGACGGGCCTGCTCGCGTTCTGCGCCGCTGCCGCAGCCGTGGTTGTGTAGTGGAACTGAGGGGAGTGCTGCTGCCGCACGCGTGCAGCTCGGTTCCTAAGCGTGTTCCCGATACGTCTGATGCACAGATCAGTGTCATCAAGGGGTGATGATGGAAAATGACAAAAAAAACAACAACAGCTACAGGTAGCTGTGCTGGCTGCAAGCTGCCAGTTGGTTGGGACTTTTCCCTCGATAAGAGAGAGAGACGGGTGCCGGGTTATGACCCAGGTGTTGCTGCAGTGCTCAACCAAATGTCGGGGATCGCCCGGTACCATATATTTCGACCGCGCATTGATTGGAATAGTCAGATCGGCCGGTTTTGCTTGAGTCTGCTATGTTGTGCGTAGAGATACGCTTCCGATTGCTGTTTTTGGGTGCCGCTCTGTTTTCTTTGCGGTGTTTGTAGTACGTGCGTGATAGGCGCCGAGCTTCCTTAGTATGCTCGGGCTTGGCGTTCAAAGCCCGCTCCCGTGGGACGCAGCTTTTTTTGTGTTGTCCACGTGTGTGTGTGCTTCGAAACGTTGTACGGACTTGACGGGGGAGCGGGCATGTGAGGCTGTCGAGGAGGGGCCCTGGGGCTCGACCTTTAGAGTATTTAGGTGCAGAACTACAGTACCCTTTGTAGGGCACCGCATTTGTGAGAGTGTTGTTGGCAGTAACACGAGTATTTTACACACAGAATGTCCGGAGCACAAAGGGTAGCACGTGCCGGAAGGACTGCTTGATACTGGGAACAGCTGCAAGCCCCTTCATTGTTCGGCAGCCTGAAGAGTCGAAGCTAAAAGCGTGGGAGTTGCAATTTGCATTCTAGTTATTTTGCGTCCCTGTTGATGCGGGGGGTGCAAGGGTGGCTGGAGTGGGCAGAACATACGTGCATGCATGCGGTTTTTGTGGGGCCCGTCGAAATTGATTCTTGCGTATGCGAACAAAGTCGATACGTCGGTTGGTGACATTTCTTTTGTTCTACGAATGCTTTCGTTTGTTGCAATAATGCTTGAGTGGAACAGTTAGAACGAATGCGCCTCGCCCGCTCTCGGCCGTGGGATCACCTCCCGCTCCTGATAACTTCGTTCATATTTTAGTGCAAGCGCAGGGAAAAATGCATACTGTAAGTTCTAACCAGACTCGAGCGCGCCGAGCTATGCCGACGCCAATGCGGCAACCTACATACCAGGAGTTTGAGCTCCGCCTAACTCGAGCTCGTGCTGTCGCGGCACATCTCCTTCTGCACAGCCGTGCCAATATTTTCTCTCCCATAAACCCTACCCCACCTCTACTTGCCGTCGACTAGGTAGCGATTAGAGTACGAGCGAACGTGATGTTGTCTGAATTCACTGCTCGGAATTTCATACCCCACGCAGGACGCCGCTCATCACCGGAAGACAGCGGACATCGGTCATCTCCCGCCGACTGCATCGCTCGCACGCAAAATAAGTAGTGTAGACAATCGGGCCGGTGTCCCTGGGGGTTGTCCCTGTAGGACAAAGGCTCGAGCACATCTGGGCTGTGGACGACGCACTCCTCGTACGAAACGAAGTTGGTGCTCTCCAGGCGTTGATTCGGGTGAGGGCAATTCGTCGAAGCGCTGTCGCGGAGCGAGGGTGAACAACAAACAAACAAGCAAACAAACGTAGATGTGCGTTGAGTACACATGCATACCAGGGAAAATTACACACCACACAATACAAAATGCCAAAACAACAAATGCATGTGTCCATGACTTGGTTGGCTGGACCACGCGACGACAAAGAAAGCTGACATTTGGCGAGAAAGACATGTCGTTTCACTTAATTTGTTTTTGGCGCAGTAATGCAATCCCCCGCATTCGCTACTGATTAATGGCAGACAACCATGAACTCCCACGCTCGTTCGACTCAGCGGTGTTCAAAAAAGGCCTACAGTGAATGATCCCGACCAAGGGATACATATTTAATAAAAATGAATGTGCGCATCATTGATCTGTAACGGCACCGTGCACCCTGAATACACCACGCCCCCCACCGACTACGCATACTGAGTGGAATATGCTCCCCCCGTCCTTCCCGGCAAATTACAAAGACGCGGAGATCCTTCGAGCATTGTCGCCGTGAAAATTGGCAGTCACAAGAAGGATGAGGTGTGCCAAAGTGTATACAGATGGCACCCGCACTCAAGAACCGCTTATTATTTTGGCTGAGGCTCGATGCTTATTGGCTGCCTCAAATTGAGCACCCGTTCTTATTTTCAAAGTTCTTTTTTCGAGCGGGCATATATATCTGTATGAAAAACGGGGTTCTTGTTCTTATTTCTACGCCGAGGGCCCCAGGACACCGGGTTTGTTGCGTTGATTCAACTCGACACTTGAGAGCAGCGTGTTTTCATGTAACAGAGTAGAACGTCGCTCAACAGAGATCTCTGAACTCGGCGTACCGCAGCTTCCGCGATCACCAGAAGGTAGAAATACAGACGCGGCATCGCCTGAAATATTGACGCATCTGAGCAAACATTGAACCTTCCACAAGGGTCACGTTCGGCGTGATTGTCCTCCCCGCTCCACTAACGCCCGTCGTAACTACATCACTGCGACCTTCACTCTGCTGTTCGATGGCCGGACCTCCTCCCTGCTCGACGGCGCTCTCCTCAAGCAAAAACCCACGACCTGATCACCGCCCCCGCATCTCCACTGTACTTGTCCAACCTCAGTTTCATGCGGTGCGTGCTTTGGTCTAGCTCGAAATGCGCACGGTAGTCGTAAAGGTGGCGGGTAGGCTCCTGAGACTGCCGAGTGATCAGCTCACCTAACCAGCCCATGCTCAGTTTAACGAGTACTCCACGCTACAGCAGCGAGTTTAGAGGCTTGAATTCGACAACCGGTGGGTGCGACGAAGGATTTGATGTCGGTAAGCATTCGTCACCCACCCCTGCGTCGACTCGAAGGCCTCCCAATCTGATTTCGTGGGCAGTTGCCAGCAATGAAGGACATGTTTTGATGGCCTCGAGGTAGGTGTCGATCAAGAATGACGCCTCTTCCTTTCAACTTTGACAGTTGGCCGAGCTCCTTCAATGTTTCAAGGGGTAAATATGGCTCTCGTGCATGGCACCCCAATATCACGCGACAGAGGTATCCTTGTACAACAAAGCTGTAAGCACCTACTACCCCTCCCCTCCGGACCGACCAAGGAAAAAAAGTGTGAACGCGGCTCCGAGTACGAAGACCGGGTTCATGTAGTTGGGGGATGTCTATTGTATTAGGAGAGGAAATTGTACATGCTTGAGCTGGGAAAAGAAGATAGATGCAGAGAGATTTTTGAGGCATGGACTAGCCAGGAGAAGACGGTACGTGGGTTGAAGATGCGGGAAGTGATTTTGATAGGATATAGAAGTTGTGCCAAGGGAAACATTTTTGAGACACCTTTGGCAAAGTAGGAAGGAACGATTGGCCATCGGTCTTCGGTCCTGTGGGAGCCATTCTTCGTCCTCTCGAGGACACACACGTGGTCAACGATCTACAGTAGGCCGCTAAGATATGGAAAACATAAGAGCGCCCCCCCCCCCCCCCCCCCCCCCCATATTTTTTTAAAAGGAATTCCCCCCCCCCCCCCCGAAGAACTGAAAATGCCGGGGGGGGGGGGCCCCACCCCCCGTGGGTCCCCCCCCCCCCCCCTCCTGAGTTTTTTTCTTGGCGCTGCCCCGGTTTGGGGGGCT